GTTTTATGGATGATACGGAAATTTGAGTTGGGCTTGTCAAATATCCTGATCCCTGCCTTCTTATTCATCCACCTTAGAGGCTGCTACATTTGGAGCAAGGATACTAATCCTCTGTTCCCAAACTGGAGACGTGGCATTTCACACCACATTCACCATTACACACCTACAGAGCAGCCCCTTCTGAAGCCCTTTCTGAACCCCTGCAACACACCATTACTCCTCTCATCTCCAAGCTAGAAGTTGCAGCTCTTTTTTTTTTGCAGCTGTCCCTGTTGAAAAGCTGAGGTTTGGGTTTTTTTTTTTGTTGTTTTGGGGTTTTTTTTAATAACTCAACACAGACTCTACAGCAACAGACCAACTTTTTCAGGCACAAAAGATGCTTGGGAATTTTCAACTAATGCCATGGAAACATAATTTCTTGGTTAATAAACAAGAAAACAAGAAGAAACATATGTAAGAATTCCTTCATCAGCATTTTAGCCTCTTAAGCAGAAAGAGAGTCATGGTTTTGAGTATGGGTTAATGCATGGGCCAGCATTATGCACCATCAGATAATTTCGCTGGGACCAGAGCCAGAGGAGGCAAGCTCCAGGGGACCCGTCAAAGGTGGGTAAAATGGCAGCAGGGACTCAGATCTGACACATGCAAGTGCTTACACTTTGGAAGAAAATCTGAACTACTCCCCACTGCCTAATTAGCTGATGTGATGCAGTCATGGCTATCACATCAATCATAAACATTGCCCTGCTAACTTGTGCTTCTCCTGCCTGCTGTATGGCCCTGTTGCCTCTTTGTCTTCATCTGAGGTTGAAAGCTCCCTTGGGATGGAGGTTATCTTTTTTGCTACTGCAATCTGAACAAATAAAATAAATATAACAAATGTAATAAATATATATGTTCCTGAATACTAAAAAAGGAGTGGAAAAACTTCTGTTCCAGATATCTTTGCAGAAATAACTACTAAACCCACACTGAGTAAAACAGTTGAAAACGTTTTAAATATTACAATAGCAAGTTCAAATAATTACCCAGAATGTCACGCTCACATAAACCTATATCAGTACTGTACAGCTTTCACAGGAGACAGCATTAGCAACAAGTGAGAAAACATTCACAAGGCTCTTCCTTCGCTCATAAAACCTGTGAAATCTAAAAGGCCCACATAATAAGAAAAGGAGCTCAATAGATTCCACCCATTTAGTCACACTCATAACACAAGAAGGAAAAAACAGGACAGCAACAAGACTAACTAATGAAAGGACTTGCTGCCTACCATACAACCTACAGAACTCCCCATATAATACCTCTGAACATAGCAAACACCTCAAATCAAAACTCATTTATCACGCTTACAATTTCTATGGTCAGATCTGGAAGCATTATGAACATGCATATTTGAATAAATAAGCCACTGAATGGACCTTCCCTCCTCAAATCCTGATAAAATTTGCATGAGATTTTCAACAGAAAGATGGGGGGTGGGGGGGAAACCCAGCACCCAGACCTTGAACTCTTGGCTGCAAACAGTGATTCTGCATATCTAACCATCACATTCTCCTCTATTCAGCAGATGCCTTCTTGGACAATTCCTGTAAAGCAGCCTGGCCCCCACTATTTACAGAGAGAGTTCGTATTTCATGACAGATCACTCCTGTGTGCTTACAGTTTATCATAGGTGATGAGGCTGCAGGGACTCTGGCCTACAGAGGGTTTGGGAATTACAGGTGCTCCAATAGCACTTCAAATCAAAACCATGTAAGTTTATAGATTAAGAGGGAGAACTGTTTTCTTTTTGTTGATGGAGAAATAATGTTAGTGGGGAGAAAAAAAAATCTACAGGAAGCATAAGTCCAACCTTTACTCCACTTTTACATAAATCAAGCATGATATAGCTGCATTTTTAACTATCCAGTTGTATATTTTGCTAGGCAATGAGAACTTATAAAGGGTTTGCATGCCTGAAAAGCTTAAACAATTTTTGCAGTTACATTTGCTGATCTACAAAAAGACTTCTGTCCACAAATTCTGATATTTCTCTCCATCACAAGTGCAACCACAGTCAAGTAGCTTCCTTTCACAGGAGGAAAATTATCACCTCCACTCAATTCAGAGGGAAAAACAAAGATCTAAACCACAACTGACAGGCATCTCTTGTGACCAAGCAGAGATGTGGCATTCACAAAGGGGAGTGATGTGGCTGGCTGAGGGGGTGTCCTTTTCCTTGAATCTGGCTGCTTCAGTAGCAATGGAGGCCTTTTCTTTGATTTCTTGGGCTCCAGAAGCATGGATTTTTTTACTAGAGCAATGTCTGTGTTCCTGCATTTAAATGCCGACCAATATTTCCTCTATCTAAACTCGTATTAGCCTGATACATTAGTTTCCAATGTAAATTTTCATTCTCCTCTCTCCTCTTGCTCTCACTCCCTTTTTTAATTACATTCAGGATGTTTTCTTATTGATTTACTTGTCTTTGTATTTAGATGCAGGGATTAGAAATTTCTCTTATATGGCAATTCAGTTTTCCATTAATAGAAGCCTCTCATGTAACCCAGGGGGACTGAGAAAAAGCTTTTGATGCATGAAGCAGGCAGAGGCAAGATGATATTTGGAGATTTTATTGCACTCTATCTTATCATCCTTTGAAGCACGGCCATGTGATTCACTGCTTTCTGACACAAAAGACACTCCTTTCCTGTGGAAGCAACTGTGTTTGCCAGGCGTTCAGAACAGACGTCACGCAGCACCACTGCTCGATGGGCAGCACTCCTGGTCAGCAGAAAGCACGTGTTGTATTCCCAGAAAAGAGGGGTGAGGGGAAAACAAACCAAAGCAAAAGCAAACCACACAACTCCTGGAAACTGCCAGACCTCCTTCTGATAAGTACTTCATAGCTGCATTCAGTTTGTGACCCATCAGTTCTGAGGGCTCAAAGATGATTTCGAAGGAGCTACAAAAAGGAACTAAGGAAAGCAAGCCTATTGCCAGAAGGCTTAAATTTACCCTGCAAAGACAGATCCTCCTTTTGAAATTTTCAGCGTTTCCAAAATGTAAAAGAAAATATTAAAAATTACCAGTTTAAATAATACAAAGATTCAGAGGCCTTACTGTGCAAATAGAACAGAAAATCCAGAGAAAAGGAGTCTTTCAGTTAGTATCTATTTGCATTTCTACAATGTCCTTTGCAAAGAAATTCATACTCTCTAAGACTCTATGCTCCCCTATGAATTGCAACATGGCTTGATCCTGAATTTTCTATGTGGGAAACAAAGGTTTCATGCCCAGGGGCTCTTCCTATGAGCTCTTACCCTGAGCTTTCCTCATAGACTTTGGAAGAGAACCCAGGAGGTTCTGACTTCTCAACATCTCTGAGTCTCTAGGCCCCACGCTGGCCCCTCTTTCACTGCAGAAAAGATACAGAAACATCCCAGAACACACTGAAATGTGCACACAAATCAGTGTTTTTCCCCAGCTGACCAATACTGGATGCATTCGGTTGTACTGACACTGAACTACATAAACACCCTTATGGGAAGACTCCAAAAGGGATGATGCTGCTATTACCTTTCTGCAGAGCTCAGGTGACACTGCGAGTTTAGTATTAGGACAGGATATGCCTGTTTGTTGCATTACTTATGCAGAGTAGATTGCTTGGCAATTATGTTTAAAGTACAATCACAGTGCTATTTGTACTTGTTAGGTAAAAAGGCAAAAGTTTTTTAAGGCTTTAATACCTTGCTAAGTACCACGGGAAGTGGAAATGACTGTGTTCTCTCTTATTAGCTGCCTAGTTATTTATACTTTTGCAGATTACCATAGTACAGCTCAATTAGGCTCTGGAAGTACTGTTCAAATTGAGAAGTTTCAAGAGCTCTACTTAACATTAAACACATTAACAGGAATAAGCCTGCATCACACGCCCAAATTCTGCTCCAAGCAGGGGCTTTTAAATTAGCTGGGGAGAAAGAAGTACAAGAGAACATCTACCAAGCAGCTGCTCACAGCTGGAGCAGTAGCTAAAGTGCGTTGACAGTTCCACCAACTACACTTTCAGCAGGTTTGTGCAATAGCTGTAACACACCAGCTAAATCTGACATAAGGCACTTGGTCTCCCACAAACCATGGTTGCCTTGTTGGGTTTTTTTAATTGTCCTTAAGTTAAAAAGCACCTAATAACACTTCGATTAAAGGCATAGCATTTCCACACCACAAGCAGGATGTCAGGAGGAAGAGCAATCCCCAACAGGCAGAAATTACTGGTGATTTCAGAAATCAAGGAGCAAGGAAATGACCTGTTAATAGGGGTGATCTGGGGGAGCAGGGAGGAATTTTATTTATTTCTTTATTTTAAATGCACACACATCCTTACAAGCACACGCTCTGTCCTTCAGCATGCTCCTGCAGGCCAGGATGCTCCATCTCTCACACCAGACTGGGAGCATGGCAACTACATGACACTATCCGAATCTGTCCATAGCAAAGACATCAGTACCTCACTGTGGTATCTTTAGTCCTTTAGTGGCTATTGTCCTTACAGCCCAAGGCAACACAGATTCACTGCCAAGAAAAACATCTCAGCTCACAGGGCTGATGAATGTGAAGATCGGCTAAGATTATATCATGCGTTGTATTGCATATCAACTCGGATCTTGTGCTAGCAAGCATGTAGAACCTATAGAGGCTGTTCTCACTGTCTCATAGAGACTCTGAGGAATTAAGAGAGTTGTCTAAGGACACTCAAAGATGAGAACGAAAGTTTCTCTCTGTGCCAGGGAAGTGTCCTTACATCAAGAAACCCTCTTTTTTGCAGTCTTCACTTCATCAAACCAACATATTCTTAATCACGTGTCCCTTTTCCAAAAAGCAAGCCCTGTTATTTCAGAATCCTCCCCACCTCCTCCCCTGATCAGCTCAGCTATCCTCTCTTGCCCAGATTCCCACTTTACAGGAGGTACAGTGCAACCTCTCCATGCCCATTGCTGTGATTTCTACAATCCACTTACCTCCACAGTGAACTCTCTGTAACACTCCCCAAGTTGAAGTCGAAGAGCTTTGTCAGAATGAGAATCACCTAGGGAAGGGAAAGGGAGGGAGGAAGGAAGAGAAAGGGAAAAGAGAGAGAAAAAAAGTTTTCCTTTAGACTGTGTAACAAAACACAAGGCATCTGTCTCAAAGGAGAGCTTAGCATTTATCCATTAGAGTATTATAGGATCAAGTAAGTTCTTTTTAAAAAAGAAAATCATTATCTTAATGCATCATGCAACCAGTAACACTTATTTTAATCTCAAAAATGTTTTGCATTTGAAATAAAACATGCCAACAGGAATTAATCAAACACTGTGAGCTGCCTTCTCTACAACTATGGTGTTATCCAAGGTCAGGGACGTTATCAGATGTGCCCTTTTAACTCAACAGCCCAATCAGAAATGGCAGCCTTTTTTTCCTGTTCTACCAGAAACTGGTGATTCTCCATGGAAAGAACTGGCAAGTTTGTTTATGAAGATTCCCATCCAGCAAAAGACTCCATTTTGTCCAGAATGATCTTTGTTGTTCTCTACCTGCTGTCACTGACTCCAACAGCATGGGATTATTCACATGCTATCACCCTTATGCAGTGGCAAAATAGAGGGACACAGAGGATGATATTCAGCTTAGATACTAAGCAAGGCAAAGCTTCAACTATATCTTTAGTGCTCAAGGTAAGTTAGAGCCTTCAGGGCCCACTGACTAACTTTCTGACAAGCTATAAACACTCTCGAGTCATAAACTTGCAAAGCTGAGGTAAGAGGAGAGGGGACTTAAGCAGCACATGTGGGACCACAGGGGAATGTAATATCTCTCCGATATCCTTGGTACTCTGACCTCAGATTTCACAGGTAAATGTAATTCTATATACCACCTACATTGCCCAATGCCCAGAAGGCCGGCTATGCATTCACATAACCTGTGAGCCTCTGTGCAAGCTCCCAGGCTCAGACAGGATGGCAAGAAAGAACCTTTGATTCTACAGTAGAAGTTAAGAGCATTTGAGCATCTGTTCCTTGCTTTTTTAGGATAACTAATATTACACAGTTCATTCCCTCAGATTCTACAGGACCAGCCTCAGAAATGCTTTGGGACATCTCTTCATTTTAGTTTTGCATCATTTTAACATTTCAGCTTAGTTTTCCCCTTGCAGGACTAAAAAACAGGCTAGTTTCTCTTGCATCTGCTTGGGATGTAAAAGCATCTAGGGACATTTTTAGTAAACGCTTTGAGGGGTGGGGGTTGTTTTGTTAACAGATACTTCACAGTATGGCTAAAAGATTGGTACAAATGAGAGAAGTGACCCAAAGGGTTGAGTTCATTAATGTTTTCCTATACAAGAAGGATCTTTTGTACTACAGAAGCCACATTTCCTTCCCTCCTCCTGCCCCCACAGCAGTGGGACCTGCTACACCTTTCATTTGGGTTTCCCAGCTGAAAGGCTGCTGGGTGAGTTTAAATCTTTGCAGAAAAATGCCAAAGGATTAATCAATATCACAATGGCTGTAGTAGTCGGTTACTGTCAGCATAATACCAGGAAAAGACCTGTTCCAATTGTGAGGGACCTTGGTACGTGACTATGCAGTCAGTGCCAATTTAATGTTTTTAGAATAGATGCTCTGAGCATTTCTCTCTCTACTGGATGCACTTTTCCTGTCCCTGTCCCCAGTTGCATTTTGTCCCTTTATTTCCCCATGCAGAGACCTTTAGGAGGAAGATAAAAGCCAAGCTGTTTCCAGCAGGGTGTGAAAAGAAACCTGCCAGGCAGATGTGAGCTAGCATATGCAAGCCCATGTCAGCCTAAACCGATGCTGTGCAGTGAGGAAATAAGAACAATATCTTTTTTATCACAACTAAAACCCTGCCTGCTCCTTGCTATACAAAGGGGGAAGAGCCAGCAGCAAGTTGCAGCAACCCAGGTTTGTACGCTCCCTCCCTTTACATCGACTGGGATGTGTCCCAACTGGGGCAGTGCCTGCTCCCAGCTAAAACCTGATGACAGCAACGTTTTTAGGATGTTCCCTATATTTCCACAGGGGCTCAGACAGGACCCCTCTCCAGAGTCTCTTGCTTGCACCACAGCACAAGCCCTGCCCAGCCAGAAATGACACCCTTCTTAGTGCTCAGGACTACGGTGGGGTTTCACAAAGTTAGCTTTCCAGTTTCAGAGCCTAAACACACTGAAGACAGCAGGATGGTTTCTGCTGAGTTCAGTGGATCCTGGATCCAGCCTTATATGTATTAAAATCTCTTTGTCCTGGTCAAATTTCAACAGAGTAATACCACCTGAAGTTGCGACTACAACTAAAGGCAGCATCCATACTCTCTCAGCTCTTTTGTGTGCCTCTTCCCAGATCTCCTATGCCCTATATCTTTGAAGATGTCACTTCTCTATCACAAACCCTGAAAAAAACAGGATAACAGCAGCTTTACAGGAGTAGGTTGAATCCTACTCAGTGCGTGGGTATAAAACCAAAGTAAAAGCACTTTGTTTAGTACGGCTTTTCTGGATTTTTGCCCAGGACAGCTAACAAAAGTCCAGCTCTGCTGCTGTTAATGCAGGGAAAACAAAAGCCCAAGCATCCCTTTGCAGTCAGATCTCACAAAAGGCCCTAGGAAATGGCAGGAGTTACTGTAGGCAGTGATAATACACATTACAGTCACCTACAGCAACCAAAGAGGCCCAGGTCAGGCAACACTCCTGCACCATAACCCTGTGTAGCCTCCACTTGTTTCTGAGACAAGACACTTCAGATTCAATAAAAGCAACTCCTGCATTAGTTTGAGAGTTTCAAAACCAGAGAGGACTGGAGAGCCTGAACCTTCCCTAGAAAAGCCAGGAAAACACATTCCCCCACAGCACTTCATAGTGAGACCACAGAGCAAATTTAACTACTATGGACGTATCACTTGTGGTTAAGACACAAAGCCTTAGAGGCACACCTGGTTCCCCAGTTGTTTTCATGGGATGCTTTTGACATAGCATAACAGGAGGAATCTTTAAAGTGTTTCAAGAGGCTATTTGAGGCCTCCACATCACTTTGCCAGAACCATGTTAAATAGAAACTAGAAGCAGGGATATTGGGGGCAGATGTGGGCAAGTACCAGAATTTCTAAGACATTGTTATTTGAATGCTTTAGTTGAAAAAGAAGGAAACAAAATGTAAGGAAAATAGGACATATTTTCCGAATTGAGTTCTGACAGGAGAGAAAAAGAATATCTACACACCTCATGGCTCAAGCCAAGGCATTTGTTTCCAATTTCTACTTTGCAATTGAAGAAGCTTAGCATTTTTTTCATCAGTGCTAACAAATAACCATGGCTTTTCTGTGCCAGGATAATTCTGCATGAAAATCTTGATGGTTTTCATTTTAAAAGCTGAATTCAATTAAAAATTGGAGATTTCCCATTTAATGCACTATTTCAAAACAAAAGAAAATGTTTTCTTTCCCTAAACTGAGGGAAAACGCCCATTCTTCAACTTAAGATGAAAGCATTTTACTCTGGGAAAAATAAATAAAACTAAAAAAGTTCCAAGAGATATTGATTCAGAAACAGCAAAAAACTTACACCTAGGCATTCTTTAATCAAGTAAATAAAACACCCTTATAGTGCCAAATTAAACTGTTTCTGTTTATCAAACCAATCTCCCCCAAATTAATTTCAAGTCAGCTCAATGCTGAACTGTACTTTTCTCCAGAGTCATACTGTTCACTTCAGGGAATACATCTCAGATATGAAATTCTCCCATATCCTATGGGCCAGACTCTGCTTCCCAGGACACCCCCGCACAGGTATCCCTGGGGCACCAAGCAGCTTGGCTGGTTGAGAACGGAGAAAGGGAAAACCAGCCTGCAGCATGGAGAGAGGAAATAGGCCAGGCTGAATTACAACTCCCTTAAGGCAATACAACCCCTCTGGAAAACGCAATTTCAAGCTGAGCTTACACAAAACTAAATGACCTGAATAATTTAATAAACTGTTTGGGTTTTCTAGACAGAAGGGGAAATGGAGAAAGGATAATCAGGAAAATATATTTTCTTTGGAAACAAGTGATATTCCAGTCCTAAAAGAATTTCCTTATGCACTTTATTTTACACACATGCAACTCCACAGCCTGTATGTTTTTGCTCTGCAGAAACAAAACTGCTGAATACCCTGCTGCAAGGTTTGCATGACAAAAATGCCAAACCCTGTAAATTATCTATCTTCAATGGCTTATACTACATTACAGGTTGAGAGTCTCTGGCGTTGATAAATACCTTCATCATGTTGTATAGTATACTGAACCACTAAAATCAGATTTAGTACGATGGACTCATTCTCTAAAATCAGGCCAGTAAGTCTCCAAGATGGCCCAATCCAGCAGCCTCGAGTCTTGACACAACCTGACTGGCGTGAAAGCAGAAAAAAATGTAACCAGGAATGGTAGCCCAGGAGTCATTCCATCTCGAAAACACATCCCTGAAGGGATCCCTATTGTTCAGACAATTATTAGGAATCTCCACATTCATAAATCACAGAAGTGCTCGAAAGCTCTTCAGAGTATTTGGTGGCATAACAAAATTTTATTTCTATAAAATTTTATTATAAAAGAAAATTACTTTAGTTCATTAAACCCTCCTCCAGATCCTGTGAATTTTAAACTGTCAAAGTATTTTACATATACCCCACAGTGGAATATATAACTGTTTCCCACAGATTAGAGTGTAAAGGCATTGCACTTCCTTCAACAGGTTGACAATGAACTTCAGAACAACCAAACAATGCTACATCAAAGGCAGACAATGCTCCTGTTTCAGTCAATGCTCTTATTAGAGACAGGAGAGATAAGAGCACAGCAGCCAGAGAGAGTAGGTGATCATTTCAGGTGGACACCTGAAAGGTCAGCACTGATCCACTTGTTGCGATTCATCTCCTCTCTAAATGATCCTGCTATATTAGCACAGAGATTAACACAACTCATCAGTAGCCACATACACACGTTTACCAAGGCTAATTAATGATAGGCAAAGGGATGAGCACTAGGCAGAGCATACACAGCA